AGGCTGCAGCAGACCCCGCTCCCCACAGGTGCTGGAGCTGCTGGAATGCATCGTGCCGCTGCTCCTCCTCCTCCTCGCCTGCGTCCTGGACCACGTGCTCGTCACCATGCTCAGCGTCATCCAGGAGCACTCCTTCGTGCAGTACTCCTTCCACGGTGAGCCCTCAGCCCCACAGTGCCAGGGGGCAGCCCCCCGGCAAGGGTCATCCCCCCCACCTCCACCCACGTCCCCAGCCCCACAGCCCCCACCACTTTCTCCCCTCCCGCAGGCAGCCACCACTTATCCGTGCACGTGATGGGCAGGTCCCTGATGGCTCGGCTCCTGCGCCGCTCCGTCGGGGCCCTCGACACCTCCTCCCGCATCGAGCTGGACACGTCCAACGTGGGTGAGCCCCTCGGGGGGAATGACACCCCCCCTCCAGGCTCCAAGGCCTGGCCACCCCTCCCTGCCTGCCCAAGGGGACTCAGCGCCGCTGTGCCCCCAGCCTGCCTGCCGCAGCCCCGCAGCATGCAGTGGCAGGAGTACGCCGACAGCTGCCTGCCCCTGGTCCTGCTGGTGCTGCTCTGCCTCACCCAGGCCTACACCTACCGCCTGCGCCGCGCCATCGCCGCCTTCTACTTCCCCAAGGTGAGCAGCAGCCCTCAGCAACCGGGGCACAAGTTTTGGGGGTTGGCTGGTGGCCCCCCGGCCACCCCTCACGGTCTTTGCCGGTGCAGCGGGAGAAGAGACGCATTCTCTACTTCTACAACAAGCTGCTGCGGCAGCGGCAGAGCTTCGTCCAGAGGCAGCGGAAGCTGGTTGCCCAGCGGGCACGGCAGCACCCGGGACTGGTGAGGAGGATGGGCACGTAGGGCTGCCGGGGCGGGGGGGGGGCTTCCCTGTCCCCCCATCCCAGGTCTGTCCCCCCCGTGGGGTGGCCACTCAGCCCCACACGCCCCCGTTGCTGCCGTAGGGTCCGTCGCTGCTGCAGTGGTGCTGCCGGTGCTGGCCGCAACTGCGCTGCTGGTTGCGCCGGAGCTGCACGGTGTGCGGGACCCCCAGGACCCCCCAGGACCGGGTCTGCCCCACACCCACCTGCAGCGCCCCATACTGCCGGCCCTGCTGGAGGGAGGTGGGCAGAGCGTGCCTCATCTGCACCCCCGGGGACCCCGGCTTCTCCGAGGAGAGCAGCGAGGAGGACACCGGGTACGCGGCCTGAGGGTGCCCAGCAATACAGGCTGTGACCCCCCTGTATGGTGTGGAGTGGGGTCTGTGGGGTGCATCCGCAGGGGCGGGGGGCTCCGGTGTACGGAGCCAGGGAAAGGGGGTGTCGGGGTGGTGAACCACAGAATCACAGAATATTTGTGGTTGGAAGGAACCTTTGAGATCATTGAGCCCAACCACAAGATCATGGAGGTGGGGGGGTCTTCTGTGTGTGGGGTGGGGAACGTGGTGGTCTCCGATGTACGGGTGGGGGCAGGTGGGGGTCTCCAGAATATGGGGTGATGAAGGCAGTGGTCGAGTGTATGGGGTGATGAAGGTGGGGGTCTCTGGAGCACCGGATGGAGAAGGAGGAGGTCTCCAGTGTATGGGGGGATGAAGGCAGGGGGTCTCTAATGTAAGGGGTGATAGAGGTGGGGGTCTCCAGAGCGTGGGGTAATGAGGGCAGGGGTCTCTGAAGAACTGGACGGTGAAGAGGGGGGTCTCCAGTGCACAGGATGGTGGAGGTGGGGGTCTCTGGTGTAGAGGGTGGAGGTCTCTGGAGCACAGGATGGAGAAGGAGGAGGTCTCCGGCGTATGGGGCGATGGAACCGAGGGTCTCCGGTGTATGGGGTGAGGAAGGTGGGGGTCTCTGGAGCACGGGATGGTGAAGGCGGGGGTCCTGCTCTGCAGCAGCAGTGACAGGACCCCCCGCCGTGGCGCACCGGGAGCTGTCACCGCCTCCCGGCGCACA